GGGATGGACTAAGATCCAGAGCTGGAACAGAATGGGGCTCTGGGGGTGGGGGGGATAGGATATCCAGAAATGTTTTTAAATTCAATTTAAACATTGCTTCTCTATTGTTGAGGATGAGCACCTCAGCAGCTTTGGCAGCTGTTTGGGAGTGGGGGAAAACCACCCCTCCAAACCAGGATATTTCTGGATTCAAACTTGTTTGTGACTCATCTGGATATTCCTTCCTCTTTTTCTGAGAACTTCCCCCCCTCCCCAGTTTTCCTTGACTTTGGATCTCTTGATAGGGAATCGGATTCTTCCTATGTCCGGTTCTGTGTTGGGTTTTTTTTTTTTAATCTTTCTCTCTTCTGGATCCTGGCACTCCCTCCTGATGACTGGGTGGCTTCTTGAAATCTTAACCGCCTCGCCCTGTTTAAGAGACACGGATTGGGGAAAACCTAGGTTAGCTAAATGTCTATGGAGGTTTTCCGTCATGCAGGTGACAGCTGTCCCCAAAGGCGCTTTTTCCAGAGGCAACTTGGACTTTCTCTGTTTTTCTTCGACGGCGTTTCGCTTCTCCTCCTCCAAGTCTCATGGTTCCGACAGATGAAACTCTTCAAAGAACTTGGAAGCATTGTTTACCTTAAAGCATCTTTATTCAAGTTGCATGGCATCCACACACGTCGGTCGAAACCGAAATCTGAAGTCCCCTCCCCTGAGCACATAGCATCAAAGCACAGTTCCCTCCTCCAATTAACCGTCGTCATAAATCACATTCTCCAATTAGCTTGAAATGTAGGCTTTCCCTCCTGTTCTCTAGCCCAGCCAATCCTTATCATCTCTTATTTCAAGCTCTGAATTCAGACACTAGTACAGTATTAGTTACCAAGCAGCTTCTTAAAATCCTTCCCTTCCCCACCATCCCAGCCAGAGCTGAAGAAGCTTTTTGGAGGAGAAGCGGAACGTCTTCAAAGAAAAAAGGAAGGAGGTCCAGTTGCCTCCTGGGAAAAAAAGTACCGTTGGGACTGAGGTTAGCTGGTTGAAAGAGACTTCTGGGTGAGCAGAAGACAGAGATGGCCTCCCTTGGGTAGAGGAGTTGGAAGGGAGAGATTTTAAAATCTTTGCTCATCCACACAGGTAGTCCTCGAGTGAACGGCGAACATTCAGCCCCCAAATTACGTCGGAGCATTTGTTAAGTGCCCCGAGTTACGACTTTCCTTGCCACAATGGTGAAGGGAATCGTGGCATTTCTTAAGACGGTTGCAAAGCGAGCTTGGCTTCCTCACTGACTTTTGCTTGTCCAAAGGGGGAGCACCTGACCCCCCCCGGGACAATGCGACGGTCGTAAATACGAGTCAGTTGCCAAGCCTCTGAATTTTGATCACCCCGACTGTAGGTAGAAAAACGGTCCGAAGTGGGCTTTTTTTCGGGGCCGTTGTAAGTTCGAATGGTCCCTAAATGAACTCTTGTAAGTCCGAGGACTACCTGTAAGTAGTTTCGCCCCGTTCTCTGCCCCGTGGCTAGCTCTTCCCCCCCTTCCCCCCGCCCATCCCCAGTTCCCTACTAACTAGCAAGGCTGCGCAACAGTGTGATGGTGTGTGTGTGTGCCTCTATTGATCGATATTGCCATTTGTTTGAGCCAGAGTGTGCATAAGGGTGTACATCTGGGCACATGCCAGGGACCCTCTTGTTGCATTTGATGGGCCTGTTCGTTTGCTGTTCCTGCGCGGGGAAAACCTGGAGGGTCTCGGATTGAGGCCCCTCCCTTTTCCCCATCTCTTTTCCTTCCAGTACGCCGGCGAAGGAAGCCGAGTCGGAAGAAGAAGAGTCTGACGACACGGCTAATCCCGTTTTGCCTTCGGAAGAGGAGTCGGCGGAGAAAACGGAGCAGGTGAAACCAGAAACCGAATTTATTTCTCTCCCCCCCTTCCAATGTCAGGAGAGGAAGATAGATAGATAGATAGATAGATAGATAGATAGATAGATAGATAGATAGATAGATAGATAGATAGATAGAT